TCTTTCTCAAATTTTAAATGTAGGTTCCCCTTGATCCCTCGTTGTGTATGTTATATTTTGAGACTGATCATAAAAACAAAATGGATTAAAAGAAGAACTAAACAGATCTTTCTCATATTGCAATGATCGATTCTATTTCTTTCACATTAAGTACTGTACTAGTAAATATGTGAAATGACAAACTCACTTTGAAGGTTGGCTTTCATACACATCAGTATTAAGTTTAGATCAAAAGTTACCTCAAGGTGCATTTACTGTTAACATGACTCGATCAAACAGATTAGAGGAAAGAAGAGAAAAGATCGAACTGACAAAGAACTAATGAAGATGGTACAAAGGTGGGCGCCAAGATCTCTCTGGGATCTCTTGTAGTAGGATAACATGACAAGGTATTAAGTTAGCAACCAATTTGATTATCATTTACATAAGATAAATTTGATAGGGATGTAAATGCAATGAAAATTCACTAGCATTCAGATTCATACCCGTACTTACAACAAATGTAAAAATAGATTAATTGTTTTAGTAGTCAAATTAAACATATAACACCTAATACATGTATATCTAAACAAACTACTAAATTTGAAATACCCAGTGTGGGTCGCCATCTGAACAAACTACTAAAATTGAAAAATCCAGTGTGGGTCACCATCTAAACAAACTACTAAATTTGAAAAACCCAGTGTGGTTCACCATCTAAACAAACTACTAAAATTGAAAAACCCAGTGTGGGTCACCATCTAAACAAACTACTAAATTTGAAATACCCAGTGTGGGTCACCATCTAAACAAACTACTTCATTTGAAATATCCAATGTTGGTCACCAACTCGCCATCTAAACAAACTAATTAGTACACTAGAGTTGTTGATCAAAACTTACCCTTTAAAGTTAAATTGGTTTATATGTACATGGTTTGATACACCAGTTTATGGAGGTGACAACCAGTGATAGTGTGACATTGTTTGTATGTACATGGTTTGATACACCAGTGTATGGAGGTGACAACCAGTGATAGTGTGACCTTGTTTGTATGTACATGGTTTGATACACCAGTGTATGGAGGTGACAACCAGTGATAGTGTGACGTTGTTTGTATGTACATGGTTTGATACACCAGTGTATGGAGGTGACAACCAGTGATAGTGTGACATTGTTTGTATGTACATGGTTTGATACACCAGTGTATGGAGGTGACAACCAGTGATAGTGTGACATTGTTTGTATGTACATGGTTTGATACACCAGTGTATGGAGGTGACAACCAGTGATAGTGTGACATTGTTTGTATGTACATGGTTTGATACACCAGTGTATGGAGGTGACAACCAGTGATAGTGTGACATTGTTTGTATGTACATGGTTTGATACACCAGTGTATGGAGGTGACAACCAGTGATAGTGTGACATTGTTTGTATGTACATGGTTTGATACACCAGTGTATGGAGGTGACAACCAGTGATAGTGTGACATTGTTTGTATGTACATGGTTTGATACACCAGTGTATGGAGGTGACAACCAGTGATAGTGTGACATTGTTTGTATGTACATGGTTTGATACACCAGTGTATGGAGGTGACAACCAGTGATAGTGTGACATTGTTTGTATGTACATGGTTTGATACACCAGTGTATGGAGGTGACAACCAGTGATAGTGTGACATTGTTTGTATGTACATGGTTTGATACACCAGTGTATGGAGGTGACAACCAGTGATAGTGTGACATTGTTTGTATGTACATGGTTTGATACACCAGTGTATGGAGGTGACAACCAGTGATAGTGTGACATTGTTTGTATGTACATGGTTTGATACACCAGTGTATGGAGGTGACAACCAGTGATAGTGTGACATTGTTTGTATGTACATGGTTTGATACACCAGTGTATGGAGGTGACAACCAGTGATAGTGTGACATTGTTTGTATGTACATGGTTTGATACACCAGTGTATGGAGGTGACAACCAGTGATAGTGTGACATTGTTTGTATGTACATGGTTCGATACACCAGTGTATGGAGGTGACAACCAGTGATAGTGTGACCTTGTTTGTACAGATGTACATCTCGACCTGGAGGAAAAGTTTGCCAAGTTTATGGATTGTGAGGAAAGCATCCTGTACTCTTACGGTTTCGCCACCATAGCCAGTGCCATCCCAGCCTACTCCAAACGAGGGGATGTCATATTTGTGTAGGTTCACTTCTGTAAATATTGTTTAACAACTTATGTCTTGACTTGCATCAGGTCTTTATAAAAATGGTATGCATGTTGTAGTAAATTATGTACTACGGATCTGAGTTTTTTGTTTTTACTCAAATATTTGATTCTATGTTACAATAATATTGTTGAAAATTGTTTCTTAGCCTTCCTGTTAACTGATTTTCTAAGCATGTCACTACCAACCTGTAATAGGCTTTAATTCTTAAAAGTACTACGTACTCAAATTCTTATGATAACTAAAACAAATATTAAAAAAACAATTATTTTATTTTTGGTTGGAATTGTGAGAGAGAAAAAAATGGTATATACCCCCGGTACAACCCATTTCTGTCAACAGAGACGACGGAGTGTGTTTCGCCATACAGAAAGGCCTGGTGGCATCTCGTAGTGCCATCAAGTGGTTCAAACACAACGACATGGAGGACTTGGAGAGGCTGCTGAAGATCCAACAGGAGGAGGACAAAAAGGTAAACGGGCAGGCATCTGTCAGAGGGGTCCTGGTGATCATTGTAATAATTGAAAAGATATTGCGATGTCTGGATCAAACAAATTATGTCACACACGCAAATATACATACATACAATCTATTCAGTTTATATGATAGTAGTGTATGCACCATGAAAAAAAGAGAAAATGAAAAAAAACCTGATTGTAATTATTCGTGGATTTTTTGTCCCATAGGTTCTTCAGTTTTTTTAACCAGTTCCTTTGACATATGTACAGGGTATAGACAATAACATTTGTCTCATTATAGCACATGTTTACTAAAGATGGGTTCCCACTATTCTTTTGGCAGTAATCACATTGGAAAAATGGAAAAAATATGGTTGTTTTTCCAGTATCAGAAAAGTTTACAACCAGTGAAATCTTATTCAAAAATGTCAAAGTAATCAATGATTTTATGTTTAGTACAAACCCTTTGTACCATCAGACATTATTCATATGGCACGCTATTTATGATATCCATTCAAGGTAGTACAGGTATATCATTTGTCTGCATGTCGTGGTACAGGAAAGGAAAGTAGCCCTTGTTCGGACTAACCTCATCTAGATCTCAACACAATAATTGTTTGATAATCTAATATATCATACTCTCCAGGTTATTTAGTAATGTTTAATTCACAATAACATCGAAGGTAACACATTTCTTAATACAAATGGGATATTGATGGTTACTTTCATTTCCCAGAGCGACAGTTTATTTGATATTTGAAACATTTGTGATATTAAAGGAGAACTGGGAAAGAGGTGTAGTTATTTTTGCTAGTTATACTGTACATATAATGTGAATATTATTTGTTTGTCAGATTCCCAAGAAAGCCAAAGTCACTCGGCGCTTTCTAGTGGTGGAGGGACTATACATGAACTATGCTGACATTTGTCCGCTCCCTCAACTGGTAAGCTGTACTCGTAGTATTGAAGTAGGGGGGAATGTGTTGTTATATAATACCTGATATTGTACTTTTTAACATGCACATAATCTTAAGTTTTCTTGTTGTTGAAAACCACTGAAAAACAATTCATATGATATACCATCTTTTTTAACGAGAATTTCATAGATATTATTTTTGTAAGATCTTGTTAGAAAGCCCCACCTGCTCCCTGAACATACAATTGCTGAATGTCAGAATGAGTTTTAATGCACAAATAAATGCAAAATTGAATTTGACTCCATACAAGACAGAATAATAATAATAATAATAATAAACTTTATTAAGTGTACAACAATTATAAAACAAGTTATATCAACTTATATTAACAAGGGGGGAGGGGTTCTTAATGTGGGAGGAAACTGGAGTACCCAGATTAAACCCAAGTGGTCAGGCAGGTAACCCCATACCTTTTCACGTCCGATCCACTGCGCCACCTGACCACGAGACAGCAACCTAGACTAGGATCACTTGTTAATATCAAAGTTTTGTATTATTCCAGCTCTAAGACAATATAGAAGTAAAATGTTATCCCAAACTAAGGAAGTCAATGTTGAAGGGATTTGGAAATGATTTTAGATTTAAGGACTTGTAATGAAAGCCAATTATTGATCAAATTGTTTTCAGGTCGCACTGAAGTGGAAATACAAGCTGCGACTGTTTATGGAGGAAAGCCTATCCTTTGGTGTCCTAGGGGCGAATGGCAAAGGTGTCACAGAGTACTATGATATTTCAGTAAGTAAAATGGTGTAAGACACGAACTCTGAAATATGACCCTTCCTCATTCTTGAATAAAACAAAAAAATTATAGCTTCCATGCAAAGTTAAGCATAGACTCCAATGAAACTTTGTGCATATTATCAGTATGAAAGAAAGTTGTAAATTATCTATGGAATATTTTTCACGAGACACTTTTTAGTCCACCATCATCAGCAATACTAAGACATTTCCTTGAATTTCAGCGAGATGAGGTAGACTTGATTGCTGCAACACTTGAAAATTCCATGGGAACATGTGGAGGCTTCTGCTGTGGGAAAAAATATGTAATAGATCACCAGGTAAACTTACCTAACATATATAATAGAACACCAGGTAAACTTACCTAAAATATGTAATAGATCACCAGGTAAACTTACCTAAAGTATGTAATAGATCACCAGGTAAACTTACCAAAAATATGTAATATATCACCAGGTAAACTTACCCAAAGTATGTAATAGATCACCAGGTAAACTTACCTAAAGTATGTAATAGATCACCAGGTAAACTTACCTAAAATATGTAATAGATCAACAGGTAAACTTACCTAAAATATGTAATAGATCACCAGGTTAACTTACCTGAAATATGTAATAGATCACCAGGTAAACCTACCTAAAATATGTAATAGATCACCAGGTAAACCTACCTAAAATATGTGATAGACCACCAGGTAAACTTACCTAAAATATGTAATAGATCACCAGGTAAACATTAATGTATTAAATCAAATTACACCCTAGTTTTCACTAGCAACATTAACAAGTCATGTTTTAATTCTTATAATAGTCAATGTAGAACCTTATTGTCTCCAGTGAAAACGAGGTGAATATGACTATACTCCTTATAGTTGTATCTGCATTACTTCCACATACAGCTAACTCTGAACCTAGTTTCCTTGACCTAGAGAGTTGATTTACGAATCGATATTTGATTTGGCTTGTTTTCGTTGTCAGCGTCTGTCTGGTATGGGGTACTGTTTCTCTGCCTCCCTGCCTCCCATGCTGGCCACAGTAGCTATAGAGGCACTTCGCACTTTGGAAGAGGATCCATGTAAGTCAAAACAGTTTGATAAAGTTTTCAGAAAAAGGTAATGATGGAAAAGGATAGTTAATAAAACTGTAAAAATATAAACAGTCAGATATATTAAAGTTGAAGTAGCAAAGCATTACTTTCAAAATGTAATTGAAGTTTGAAAAATTAGGTTTGCAAACTATACAGTTAGAATCTTGAACAAATGTTGATATACTTATGTAACAAACTGGCTTTTTATGTAAACACTCAGATGTATTAAAGCTCAAGTACCAAGGCTTCAGTTTCAAGATGTAATTCAAGTTAGGGTAAATTGCAAACTATACAGTTAAAAGCTAGATGAATGTTGATATAGATATGTGCAATGCATGATATTATTTGTCTTCTTTTTTAGCTTTGCTAACCAAACTAAGTCACAACTGTCAGAGGGTTCAGGAGAAATTATCTAGGTATTACACATGTCTTTGTTACTTCGCTATTTTCGCTGAGCTAGTGGAAATAATTTCGTTTCTTGATAAAGATTTCCAATGAACTTTCGCTTTACGTTTTCACAACAAACCTTGGCTGTTAACAGGACGTTAAACTAAATGAAACCAAAACCAATCACAACAAAGATGAAAAGGAAAGGTTAAGAATATTTCAAATCTTCAGACAAAAGTTGAAAAACCTCTGAAATGTGAACTGAAAATTTCCAAGAAAATTTAATTAATCAGTTTGATTTATTTTCAAAGCTGGTAAGGGAAGAAAGTATTACGAGTGAATTTTATTTTTGTCTTTTATATTTAACAGAATACCAGGAATACAGGTACATGGTGATCCCGTCGCTCCGATAAAACACGTAAGACTTGAGGAATTAAACGATGACCGATCCATTAACGTACAGACGCTGGAAAAGATTGTAGACAAGGTAAGTCATAAAAAAGGACATGTATGTAATTGCTGAATCTTTTTTCAAAATCATGTCTGTAAACCACACTTAAACCAAATTGCTGAAATCAAATATGTTCAGTTTCTCTTTGGCTGACATTTCAAACTGGTGACAGCTTCTCGTTGCCACATGTGACGTGAGGAAATTGTTGTTTTGATCAGCAGAAGAGTATCTAGCCTCTGACGTAGTCGGCAACCAACAACACTTCTGTCATAGAAATTATCACTACTTCACAATCTTTTTGCTTTACTTGTCCACTATTTCTTTCTTTATTTTTTTCACATGCGTCTGAGTAAGTTTTGTCCATTTCTGAAAAATTTACTTTGTTTATTGATGCATTTGATGTACGGGAGATACAGCATTTGAAGTATGGGATATTTTACACCTGCAGGTAAATATTTGATATCCCCCATACCAACATTAATAGATTCTCTTATGTTTTGTATATATAAAAATATTGTAAATTTATGTAATTTTTGGGTGTGATTTCAGGCCAGAGATCTAAGTGTGGCTATTACAGTGTCGAGGTATCTGGAAAGTGACGAACATATCACACCGAGTCCAAGGTAATTAAACTGTGTTAGATAGTCGTGTTGATGATATAGCGATGTGACTGGAACTCTCAATGGAGGTTCAGAATAACATTCATCAGTTTGGTATGAATGATAAAGGCAAGTTTGTGTTGATCACAAACGAGAATTGAAAACTGATTTTGCGAGTTGCCTTGTCAAGCAAAGAGTGTAAATGATCTGGTGTCTCAACTCTAACCTGCTAAAAACAACTCACTAAGCCACAGTGTGCCGAATTAGTTAAGTGAACTATCAACAATCAAAGAGACATTTCACCAAATTCCATTTTAATACTGCAGGCAGTCAGGGGGACGGATAACATCTAGATAAACTTGTCTGAATAGTTAAATTGACTCTGATAAAATGGTGTTGGAATTAATATGATGCATTACATGTATCTTAAATTGAACTGTTTTGTCGTCATGATACGTTGCTGTGTTTCAGTATAAGGCTGTCCGTCAATGCTAGTCTTACAGACGAGGAGATTGACAGAAGTGTTGAACTTATAGGCAAGGCTTGTGCAGCAGTGCTCAACAGGTGGGTAGCTCCTGTCAGAATATATTAACAAATACAGAAAATGAACAAAAGAAATTCTGAGAGAGAAAAAAACACTTTCATTTAAGCAACCCCTTAAAGCTTTTATGGATGTTATGTCATGTTCAACTTTTAGGTTCTTACCCTAGTCCCCAGATTATAGTAATAGTTAGGTCAAATCATTGTAATACTTGTCCTCTGTAACCAAGGTCATGGTCATAGTTATAGTTAGATCAAATCATTGTAATGCTTGTCCTCTGTAACCAAGGTCAAGGTCATAGTAGTAGTTAGGTCAAATCATTGTTATGCTTGTCCTCTATAACCAAGGTCATAGTAATAGTTGGATCAAATCATTGTAATGCTTGTCCTCTGTAACCAACGTCAAGGTCATTGTAACAGTTAGGTCAAATCATTGTAATACTTGTCCTCTGTAACCAAGGTCAAGGTCATAGTATTAGTTTGGTCAAATCATTGTAATGCTTGTCTTCTGTACCCAAGGTCAAGATCAAAGCAAGAGTTACGTCAAATCCTTGTAATGTTTGTCTTCTGTACCAAAGGTCAAGGTCAAAGCAAGAGTTAGGTCAAATCCTTGTAATGTTTGTCTTCTGTACCAAAGGTCAAGGTCAAAGCAATAGTTAGGTCAAATCCTTGTAAAGTTTGTCCTCTGTACCAAAGGTCAAGGTCATAGTAAGATTCAGTTCAAGTCATTGTAATGCTTGTTCTCTGTAAATCTGTTTACATTTTGTCAAAATGTTGAATTTTGTTTTTCAGCTATTCATGAGATGATGAAGACCTTATTAAGATGTTGTGATCTACTACAGAATACTGACAATTACTAACTGGAAACTGGGAACAACTGGTCATAACAGAGCTTTATAAAGCTTCTCTGTAGCTGGGAATAACTGGTCATAACAGAGCTTTATGAAGCTTCTCTGTAGCTGGGAACACGTGGTCAACACAGAGCTTTATAAAGCTACTCTGAAGCTGGGAACAACTGGTCATAACAGAGCTTTATAAAGCTTCTCTGTAGCTGGGAAACTGAGAAATTTTGGGAAATGACAAAGATATTGGCATCTGGTGAAACATTTGCATGTCATTAATTTTGAAACGAATTATCAAATATTTGAATTCAGTGCATAATGGCCGTAACTATATCGTCATCATCTTCATCAAGGACAGATGTTAAAGTTCACCACAAGAAAAAAGTGCTGCTGATGTCATGATGCGCTTTTGATTTTGGCACAGAGATAGATACACAGCTTACTTAAGGTTCAATCGGAATTTCATTATTTTTGAAATTTACAGTGCTGTGTTGTTTACACTTGTGTGTTATATGAGCATTGAGTTGTCCAGTTAAGAATTCTTCAACATTCATCCTAACATCATTGTGACTGGTTTATCATTCAATATCAGAAAGTTGCTACGCTCCCATCCTAGCAGCTGTGAAGATTAGATCAAGGAAGACGATGGAGAAGTACCAACACCAAGGCATGTGTGTTTTCACATGGCGTATATTGTTTTTATCATGTCTACACCTCGGATTGTGTATTGTATGTGTGGCATTTATTGTTTTTATCATGTTTCAACGTTAACTTATTCACCCCTGAAGACTCATTTGAACTCCTCCAATTCAAATGTTGGAATAGTTCATTATGAAATTTCAGGGGTGAATGATCTAAGGTATGTGTATTGTGACAGGGAGGTGTTTTTATCTTCAAATGGTAAGGCTAGGCTAACCGCCAGAAAATTTACATACATTTTGTTTGTACCAGAGAAAAAGTATACATGTGTATAAAAAATGCCTTTGTATGAAAATTGCACGACTGGCTGAAGAGCCTAGATATAGATCACAGATCACTAGAAAGTATATGTATTGTATATATAAGTAAAAATCATCGTTACTGTAAACAAGATCAAAAATATTATTTTTGTACAAACGTGTTAAATGATTTAGTTTTCATGTGGCATGTGATATGTGATATGTGATTATTTTACCACTTCTTTTTACCAAATAGTGTTTGTCCAAAGTTTTTGGAGAAATCCATTTTTGTTTCTTTCAAATGTCTACATTTAAGATAGAAGTAGGCTTCTAGTTTTTATAGGTTTATAGAATTTTGTATTTCCTCTTTTCCTTATTCTTGTATAACTGTTCTGTAGCAAGGTAGATAACTCTTCTTCTAATATTTTTTTTATTGTATGTCTTCCCTAAAATACCAAAAGTTGATCTCTGATCTACAAATCCAGTAGCTGATAACTTAATTCTCCCTGTAAATCCTTTCTTTTTTGTAGGCATCTATTTTTGCAGATCTTAAAAAATATATGTTTATTTTTGTTCAAATTTTTTGAATAAATAGTTGAGATACTTGAATTCTTGATGGAGTCTACTGTCGAATTAATGCAAAAATTTGGATCCAATGTAACATCAATGGTTGCAGTATCTGTCTTCACTAAGGACAATATGTGTTTTGCTTAAAAAGTAATCCGAAATAACGGACTCCTTTGAAAACAAATTTGATGGGGCAGAAACATTTTTCATCTGTCGGACAAAATGTATTTTTGGTTGATACATTTTGTTGCATTATAGTTTCGTGTTAACTTTTACTTCCTTGTCACTGTGGATTGTTGTATTTTGTGTTAATGGTGATACTGGGACACAATACATGATCCTCTACACGCCTGCCCATCAGTCATGACATACAGGCCATGACCACATCAGATCTGAACAGGTTCTACTGTATCAGACACCGTCACATAAAACAGAGGTCTGTAAGAGATTACACATCATAAATCTGCAGTAAAACCTCGCTATACTGCCATCATTTGTCCAGAAAAATGTCGGCATTTTAAAGGGGTTTGGTGATATATTAAAAGAAGTATATAAAGGAATTCTTAAGAAAACGAGAAAAAGGGACCTTGAAATATGTTGGTGGTATGTGAGGTGGTAAGTGAAAGGAGGGGCATTATATCAAGGTTTTACTGTATATATAAACGAGGGGCATTATATCAAGGTTTTACTGTAGTTTATGGTTAATACTGTATATCACTGTGGGTTGACTGATGTAAGAATATCTAATATATATTTCTGTTGTGACAGGTTCAAAAATATGGTATCTATGCATGTTTTTTTACACATTTTCATGTGACCATATGTAAAACAAAGGTGATATATGTATATGTTTAAGAAACTATTCTTAATGTGAAGTTTTATATTTGTCCATAAGTTAAGTTGAATTCGAGTAAACTACCATCTTTAATTCCTGTTGACAGTTTTGGAATTATTTCTGTATGCAGCCTTAACCCTTGATTGTAATGGGTTTATTTTCTGGTTTTCTCCATTTGTATAAACTTTCCTGTGAGTACTTGAAAAATGGGAGCTTTTTACTGAAACGTTTCCTGACTATATATGGAGACAAATCATTACTGTGATGATAATGGAGATGGAGTTTTGGGAGTTATCTCCCCTTGGGTATGATTTAAAAAAAAAAAAAAAAAAAAGGCCTATACACCAGCTCATGACTGATGAAACTATGTATTTGTTACTTTTATTTACCTTTATATTCTTATAATTTTATGAAGCTACAAATAAATAAACAACTGTTTTCAATGATAGCTTAAAATTCTCTCAGTAACCCGTGCCCCATTGTCATATTTTGAGAGTACGTGTAGTAAAAAATTAGTTCACTCAGTAGTTTTTAAGGTTTAAAACATATTTTGTTTTACATACAGCATAAGGAATCTGGTTCAAGTCAAAGGGGAAAATAGAGGGATAAGTTTTTGAATGTATTGGTAATACAATACAGAATGTTATGTCTGTGGCTGTTAATTTTCAATACATGGCTACTTCAATATTCTTAGCCTTCAACTCTTTAGAGTAAATTACACAAAAAACACTTACCCAACCCTGTTAAATTATTTCTGGGATAATTAGTAAGAACATCAATGATTGTATAAAAGTTTCATGATTTTAGGTACAGTGTACTCGGTTCTAGGACCAGCACTGGTATAGTAGATTAGGACACAGGCAGTACAATTTTAGTGGTCACTGTGAAATCGCTAATTTTCAGGGGGTATGTGATTTCATTGATTTTGGGGGTATCCACGAATTCATAGGTCCACGAAGTAATAACAAGTTTGACATAAAGCCATTCTCCATTTGAGTGGGTACTCGTAATCCACAAATTTGTGTACACTAAAAATGTTAATTTGTCAGGAATACACGAAATTCAGGCTCCATGATAACATCTGATTCCACAGTATTTCATAAAGTGTAACTGTATTTTACATACATCTAGGCCGTATTAGGTAACTAATAAAAAAAACTAGTATCTCCTGAAAAGATAAAAAAAACTGGACCGACTCTGATGTTTGTTCAATATGTCTTCTTGATCATCCTAATTTCATGTATTAATCATTTCAGTAGCAGCGCTTATCAAAACCCTTTCATTTGCTATTTATTTGTTTAATTTAAACAAGTTTTCTGGCTTTTGAAGCCCAGGCTGATAATGTACCCCTGTAACTATTGAAGCCAAGACTGACAACATTTCACTGTCACTGTCAATGGTTGACAGAATAGGTGTAACATTTTAATATTATTTGAAAACTAGAAAAACAGAAACATAGGTGGTATTCAACTAGTCTTATAGACTCAACAATTTTCAAGCAAAATGTCCTTTGAGTTTTCAAACATGCGATATTGTGTACACCTTAGAGTGCCAATTATCTTCACCCAAATGAGATACATTGTATCATGTGAACGGTTTTGATAAGCAGTCATACTGATAACAAGTCAGAGAGTACTAAACAAAGCAGTTAATTGGAGGACACAACCAAAGTTTCAATAATCAAAGGTTTGGATGGTTTGGTTAACCGAATCTCTTCCGTATAACTTTTCAACTGTCAACAATATCCCAACACTTTAACAGATGGTAGGTCACTGATCTGATGGCTTTGTCAACTATTTCCCCAACAGGAGATATTGTAAAACGTTTTATATTTATAATTTTATATTTGAGATGCTTACTTATACAATTTTTCAGAAAAAGCACTGTTTCTATTCGTTGACTTTTCTGATGTAAACATTTCACGACAACTTATATAAACATTATAGTTTCAAGTGGTTTCTTTGCAAGAATTTAGATTCACCCCCGAACAATGATAAACATATATACCTGATCAATAGCTACATTTACATCACTGTTTATAACACCTAATTTATTATTTTAAACGTCCCCTGTTTGATGAAGGTAATACTGTTGTGAAATTAGATATTTTCATGGGGTCCAAATTTTATGGTTTCCTGATAAAACACCATTACATGGGCACATTAAATTGATGGATTACGAGTACCCACTCATACGGAGAATTGCTTTATGTCTAACTTACTCTAAATTACTTTGTGAACCTATGAATTCGTGGATGAAGATTACGTACGAAATCAATGAAATTAAAACACCACAAAAATAAATAAGTGATTACACAGTACCCTGAAGGTTTGTGATACTTTGTTATCTTCCTTAGTGATGATATAAAGTTGATTGAGACATCTGAATACAAAGGCAACATGTGATTATGACATCTAATCCAATATCCTGACGAAATGTTATATTTAAGTTCAATGCCAATCTTCTGACATTTAGAATTCAGAAAATATGATAAACAGAAATTTGATGGTTTCCCATTGAATATCACCATGTGAAATGATTGACTACAGGTTTCCTCTACACAGCGGTCGGTCAGCTGTAATGGTTACATATGTGAGATGATTGACTACAGGTATCCTCTACACAGCAGTCGGTCAGCTGTAATGGTTACACATGTGAGATGATTGACTACAGGTTTCCTCTACACAGCGGTCGGTCAGCTGTAATGGTTACACATGTGAGATGATTGACTACAGGTATCCTCTACACAGCGGTCGGTCAGCTGTAATGGTTACACATGTGAGATGATTGACTACAGGTATCCTCTACACAGCGGTCGGTCAGCTGTAATGGTTACACATGTGAGATGATTGACTACAGGTATCCTCTACACAGCGGTCGGTCAGCTGTAATGGTTACACATGTGAGATGATTGACTACAGGTATCCTCTACACAGCGGTCGGTCAGCTGTAATGGTTACACATGTGAGATGATTGACTACAGGTATCCTCTACACAGCGGTCGGTCAGCTGTAATGGTTACACATGTGAGATGATTGACTACAGGTATCCTCTACACAGCGGTCGGTCAGCTGTAATGGTTACACATGTGAGATGATTGACTACAGGTATCCTCTACACAGCGGTCGGTCAGCTGTAATGGTTACACATGTGAGATGATTGACTACAGGTATCCTCTACACAGCGGTCGGTCAGCTGTAATGGTTACACATGTGAGATGATTGACTACAGGTATCCTCTACACAGCGGTCGGTCAGCTGTAATGGTTACACATGTGAAATGATTGACTACAGGTATCCTCTACACAGCGGTCGATCAGCTATAATGGTTACACATGTGAGATGATTGACTACAGGTATCCTCTACACAGC